TTCTGGTGCTACACTATCATCATATTTATCATATACTTCATTTAAACATTCAATTGCCCAATCAATCCAATTTTTATCCCAATTATTTACTTCATAGTATGCCTTTTTTAATCTTGGATCCAATAAGGTAGTTATCACGTACATAGGACCATCACTTCTGGTATAATAAACTCTTAATTTACTAAGCGCTACTTTAATAGCCTCATTAATTACCGGCAACAGACCTTTTTCTAGCAAATCCTCAAGATCATCCATAATTAGATTATACGCTGGAACGGCAAAAGGCATCGTTATATATGATTCGCCACACAACATCTCGGATATTTTATGAAAACTTTTAAAGGTAATGTAATTTCTTCTAGCATTTTCCATTCTCGTGGCAGAAGACCAAATTCACTTAGCTCAGAAATTTCTCTAACTATTCTACCAAGTGCCAGAGTCATAGTTATGGCTCGTTCAAGCATATTAAGCATCAAGTTCCAATGTGTTTTAGAGTCAAGGACTGGATTCTTGTGTTGTATATTGAGAGAAGTACATATTTCGATTAACCTTTGACAACGTTGGGGTGAATGCCGAAACTTCGCAATAAGCTTACGAAGCTTTTTGATTGTTGAAACTTGAGTATTAGAGGTATTAGAGGTATTAGTCTCATTTAAAATATTATCATCATTATCATCTTGTTCTGGCACTTCAGAATGTAATTGATACAAAAAATCTTGCAAAGCAATATTTATAACATGAGCTATGCAACAAACGTGGCCTTGTCGCTAAGTAAAAGAACCACCAATTTCTATAGAAAAAGACTCGAATGCTTCAATAAACGTATTATTATTAGCAGCATTGTCCACGGTTATGGCAAGAATTTTTTTAGTAATACTAAAGTCTTCACAAATACTTAACAAAGTATTTGCTATATTTATTCCAGCATGCGGTCCTTCGAATGGCGCGAGATCAAGTACGTGGGATTGAATTTCCCAATTATTATCAAGCCAGTGGGCCGTAACTCCTATAAATGCTTTACAGCTATTACTAGTCCACATGTCCGTAGTAAGAAAAATCTTACTCGAGTTATTTTTTAGTGTTTCTTTTAATGAAGCCTTTGATGTCGAATAATATTCTAATAAATCTCGTTTAATTGTTCTTGCAGATGGAATTGTAATATTACCTTCTAGCTTTCTAATTACTTCAAATAATTTATAAAAACTTTCCGACTCGACAGTAGTAAATGGAAGGCAATCTTTTACAATCTATTCGACCAATGTTTCTCTAAAGAGATGTTCGCCGGACTGAGAAAATAAAGTAGCTAACTCTTCAGAACTCAAAATGCTTGGGATATCAACTTTGTGAATATTGATAATGTGGCTACGCAAATTAGAAGTACCACTATTATTCACAGTAAGGTAATTACCTGTCGGGCATAGCTTACATTTAACTTTTTTTTACCTGATTCAACTTCAATAGAAGGATCAAAGTATAGCCATACCGGAGCTGGTACACGCATACTTGTAGTGGATACCATTGTTCGAAATTAAACAAGCAGGTTTATAACAGATTAGTGGATTATCGTTTAAGATAAGTGATTTATTTTGTTAAAGATAAAAATGATCTTGTTTATATGGTCTTATTTATTAATACTTCAGGTTTGATACTTTTTTTAAAAAATGTAGTTCTTATATTTATATATTTATTTATCTTTTAATTCTTATTGCACATTATATTTACAACAATCGTATATTTATCATGCATAGTTATATTCAATATATTTAGCCAACATATCATTAACAACTTGCTGTAATGAATAGTTTTCACCCTTATTAGATTCTAAATCATTTTTGAGAGCTACTAAAATTATTTGTTCATGTGCAATTGTTGGATAAATTTGCAATAAAAGTTTAGCATGAAAAAATCTGTGACAGGTTTTGTCGATCATGTGGCGCAGCAAAATCCTTTAAAGTTCGATTATATTAGGGTTAGGGTTAGAGTCATGTATCAGATAAAGAGTTTATATAGTAAAACTGCCCAACGAAAACTTTTTGTTAGTGCACTAAAGGCGGTTTCTTATGCAAAATTTCAAGAAATAAGCGATTTTTAACAAAACGAACGTTTGTTTTGAAATTTTCTGATTGTGTTACGTTACACCTGATCTTTAAATTCTGATTTGTGGATCAGGAGATCTGCGCCACATGATCGACAAAACCTGGCACAGAATTTTTGTATGCAAAAGTTTAATAGTAGCTTCATTAAACTGTGCTAATAGTTGAATTAAATCTTCATAGATTTTTCAATCTTCTTTACTTGGCATATAAATTTTTAAATTTGGATGTTTAATTAATAATATTTCAATAGATTCATGAAGTAAACATGCTCGTTTGATCATATGATAAGTTGAATTTCATCTTGTTTTACAATCTAAAATTAGAATTAAAAAAGATTTATTATCTAAAGTTGTAATATTTTTTAAATCTTCAAAAATCTTAGTTGAATTATGAATATTTTTAATTAATTTTCTCAAATTTTTAAGTGAAATTTCTAAAGAACTTAAACCAGCAAAAACTACTAAATTGAGTATATGAGCTATATATCTATAATAACAGAAGTTATTCAAAATTAACTTATTTTGTATATAATATGCAGCAAAAATCATATTTGTACCATTATCTGTTTTTAATGCAATAACTTTAGCTTCAATTTCAATTCTTCAAGTAATTCAAATATTTTATCAGCAATATTTTTTCCAGTATGTGAGCCTTTAAATTGAAATATGTCTAATACAAAATATTGTAATTTCTAATCATTATCGATAAAATGAATAGTTACAACTAAAAAACTTTCCATTTTAAAAGATGTCTAAAAATCAGTAGTAAGAGAAACATTGCTTGAAATATTATTAAGATAATTTTTATCAAATTTCTTTGCTGATTAAACTGTTTAATAGTTAAATTATAAATTGTTTTCCGAATAGGATATTTATAAAAAGGATCTAATTTTTAAATTATATTATGAAAGGATTTTTCTTCTACTACTTTAAATGGTTTAAGAGTTAAAATAATCTATTCAAGAATTGCTTGAGTTTTTGTAGCTTGAATTTTTGCTGAATATTTTTTAATTGTTAAATTTAATTTTTTTGAATCTAATAATAACTGATGCTGACATTGTAAATGAGTTCAAATAGAACTAGTTGATGTTGTTAGTTTAAATATTTTAGAACATTTAGGATATTGATGAGTTTCTTTATTAACCAATGTTTAAACATCTGATTCATCTTTAAAAACTGTTTTAACATATTGAGATATCTCTAAATTTTTGGCCAAATCTTCTTCATTTACTGGAATTGCTTCTTCAAAACTTAAATTTTGTATATTTTGTATGATTTCTTTATCTTGTTCAATTTCAATATTATCATCATCTAAATTACTAATATAAACATCTTTATCAAGCTGTATTTGAAAACTTTCTTCTTCACTACAATCTTCAGGTGTATTAGAACTAGTAGATATTTTTTTAAAATATAAATAATAATAAATAAAAATAAATATATAAAATAAAATAAATGAGATATGGCGACTTAGTGTAGTAGTCTAGTTATCACCCTTTCCAAGTGGCAGGTCTAGAGTTCAAATTCTACTGGCAATGATATTTGAAAAATAGATCTGTATTTGGTTAATGGCTATGCTTATCAGTTGGATCTAGAACTATAATTTGTATCTTCAGTCACACCATCTAGAAATGGAAGCTTAGGCGTAATAAACCCGAGGAACTGGCATAACCGAAAACCCATTTGGGAAGACCTGAATTTGGAGGTAGTAGTGATCTTTGATGGTATCACAGGAGGGCTGAATTTGAACTGGTGCCTGAGATTGGAGAGCTGAGCAACCAGGTCCTATAGTGGAGAACACACTAACTGAACTACCAGGTTGTTACACTAGAGGAAAAGGACATACGCTTCAAAAGTATGGACCAAGGAGAGGGCGTCCTTTAGACACTTAAAGCCTGAGCATACCAACCCTTTTCGTATTGCCAGCTAGAAGTAAAGAAGGAACTAATAATGAATCTGAGTAAGAAGACGGTCTGAATATGGGTATTTGGGTTGTTCTGAACCAGATAAGGGCAAGGAGTATGTAATGGATGCCTAATTAGGAAGATTGGTGCTTGAGAAACATCTGTAAAACAGCAGCACTCCAAAAGGTGGTGTAAAATATGAATATAGAATGGCTGGTCAATATGTACTAATTAGGAAGCCATTACAGAACATGCAGATAAATATATGTGTGGGACATGTACCACTCTGTTAGGTTTACCTCGAGAATAGATTAGCTTAAATTAGTAAGTCCTAAGGTAGGGTGCTAATTCCAATAGAGTAGATGCAAACCCCACTACTATATGGTGAGTAATACTCTTGGGTTAGGGTTATGATGGAGGTAGTTGGAACCAGATGGTTTAAATAGGTACCCCCTAGTTGGGTGCAGGTACAGCAGATAGTGTAGAACCTTTGGGCGGACTACTTAAATTAGACACTCAAAAGGTGCACATGTGGCTTGATGTACCATCATTGTAACTACATTATAAAAACTCCATTTACATCCTAATAAAACGTTTCCCAGACAAAAGAGGTCCTCTTAATAACAAAAATAAAATAAAATAAATAAATTTATATAAATATAAGAATAAATAAGTTAAAAAAGATAGTGATAATTATTGTAAAAAATAAATAACCGTAAAGCAATAAGCTTAAAAAAAGTTGAAATTTTTATTTTAAGCTATATACTTTAAATCATATACTTATTATATTTATAGTTTAAATATTTTAAATTGTACACTTATTATATATTTATACTTTAAAGTATTTTAGATTATATGCTTATTTATAGTTTAATAATTTATATCTTATTTTTTTATTTATAATTGCTATTCGCAAAATAATAGATTTTAATCAAATTTTATCAATCTTAGATCATATATACAATGTTTAATTTCTGTTTAATTATGTAAATATAAAGGAATTTTTAATAAAAATATTTATACATTTTTAAAATAGCATCTTTATTTTGTACAATCACATTATCATACAGCAATTATGCAATTGTATATTTACAATAATTTATAAATATTTTGATTATATAAATTACTTTTATTGCTTTGTAAAATGATATCTTTTTGTGGTTTGTATAATTTTGTCAAATAATACATGTCAAAACATTATATCGATTAAATGATATATATTAATGTAGCACTATAATAAGATTAAATTTTATTTTTTTTGCAATATGTATATACTAAAACTAATCAAATAGTATTAACTAGAGTTCTAATTCAGATAAATTCATTATCCACTTAGCCATATTTCAATTATCCAGAGCGATAAACAAATCAGACATCTAACATAAACAAATTAGATATCCAGATAAACAAATTAGATATCTGACAAATAATCAGATAATTATCTAAATATCAAAAGTAACCAGATATTTGTTATTCATTATCCAAGTATTTGATCTAAAATTTATTCAGATATTTGGTTGAATATAAATCAGATTAAAACTCTAGTATATACGTATTAGCCAATATTAACTTCAATTAATAAGTTAATGGATAACTAATAAGAAAATTATATATGTATAGAAATACGGAGCCATACTACAATAAATAATTGGCTTAGCAAAACCATATATTGAACTTCTAATTTTAATGTTTATCAATTTATCTAAGCAGTAAAATCAAAAATCAAAAAATTAGCACTTACAATAAAGCAAGTTGTATTTTTGATTTATTTAATCAGTATCAAATTTAAAATTTTCAAAGTGTAATACGCATTAGAAATGATAATTTGCAGAATTTTTTATTACACTGTACAAATTTAAAAACAATAATTGGGTCTCTTATTTACCTCCGCTAGGTGTGACAACATCAATGTGATGAATATAGACGTGACAAATAATGTATGGATTTTGTTATATATTATTTATCACATCACTATTTGTCATGTAAGAATTTGTCACCCCTAAATAAAAAATTTTAAAGTGTCCATAATTGTTATTTATATTAAAAATCTAGCATCAGTTACAATTTTAGTTAGTTGACTAAGCTGTTCTAACTGACTAGCATTGACTATGGCTATAGCTGTCAGCTAAGCGACTAGGCCATAACTGAACCTATTCCTAGTCACGAGACTGATTAGACTATGCAAAGTTAATTTTTTGTTTTGCATTACATGGATTTCAAAATCAATGGTCAGTGGTCAAATTTTTTTATTTTTTTTTAATTCTACAGTAAATAATAGACTCATATTCACATTTAAGGTCATACATAGTTAATTTTTCACTTTACATAACATGGAATCAGAAAATTGAGTCGGCAATTGAATTTTTTTTTATCAGTTCTATTGGATAATTCTAGAAAAATAAGGTCTCTATTGGGTGATACTGGAATAATTTATGGGTAAAAATTAAATGCCAAAAATAGAACAATTGGAATCTAAAAAAAAAAAAAAAAATTGAAAAAATAGGTTGCAGGTAATGCAAAATGAAAAATTAAGTCCCACTATGGGCCCGGGCTTATATCATGCATTTAGAGGAGTGCTGCATTTAGGGAGGAGCATTTATGGAGGTCTGACTATAATAACTCATATAATGATTAGTGCTTCGAATTGGTTAGATGAACCTGAAACCTGACTCGAAATTTTAGGTCGGGTAGGGTTCAAGTTAGAAATATCTGACCCGAAAATTTCAGAATAGGTTCAGATTAGAGTAGTTGCCTGCCATGGCAAGGTTTTAGTAGCTTGCCAACATAAGAGGCAAGTAATAGCAAAGATAGCAAGCTTTTTATACTTGATTGTTTTTAATATTGAATTAAAATTCAAGTATAGAAGTTTTATTAAAGCTAAAGTTAACAAGATATTATCAGAATTATTATATTAGATTAAAATAATTATAATACTATTAATATCTTTACTCTAACATAGATTTTTAGCTTAATCTAATAAAATTTAGTATTAAAAGTTGGATTAGATACAAATATCAATTTGATTTATATACATATATTTATATTAATTTTAAAATACTATGTTAATTTTAAATATGTGTTGATTTGTTTTTTCTAATTGCATTATAAAATAAAAAATATTAATTTTTAAATTATTGTATTAATATCAAATTATAATTCAAAAAAATACTTAATAAACTTTATAACATTTTTTCAACTATTGCAAAGTAAGCATTATTATAACATAAAATTAAACAAATTAATTTTTAGATATTCAACAAATTAAAATTTGTATCAGATCAAAATTTTAATACTAAGTTTATTAGACTTCAATATTATATAAGGTAGGTTTTAATAGTATAATAAAGTATATATATATACTTTATACTATTATAATAATATATCTTGCCAAATCATTTTTCTTTGCCTGCTATACCTATCCATTATTGCCTTGCCAAAATGGCAAGTAGTTGCCAGCTTACAAACCACCCTAGTTCAGGTTGAATGTAGTGATGTGCCGCATACAGTACTATACGTACAGTACTGTACGTACTGTATGCTAAAATTTTTGCTGATCACTTGTTCTAGCAATTAAATGCCAGAAAAGAACTATACGTACAGTACGTACTGTACGTTAAAATTTTTCAGGTATTATATAAATGACACATCATTAGTTGAACGTCAACTCGACCCGAAAATTATCCAATTTATAGATGCGCGAAATTAGCATTTTATTTTTTTTTTTGGTTCTAATAGCAAGTGTATATGTATTTTTAAATAATATTTTAAATAAAACAGATTGACACAAAATTGTCACTCGATTTTTGATTGGTTAACAACCGCAGATCTGCAAATTTTGGCCAACATTACATAATTGGTTACTAATTTCTGGCCGTAATTAACTTTTGATTTTTTTCATTACAAAACTAGAAATTTCTGGCACATTATGGTAAAATTGACCCAGGATCAATTTTCACTTAATAGGCTCTGTAGTTACATTAGTAGAATTCCAAGTAATTCCGTCCAAATTTTTTGTTCATCGCTTTTAGCCAATCAAAATCGAGAATCTGCTGTGAGTACAACGTGAAAATCACAATTTTTAAAAAACTTTCGATACATAACTTGAAATTTTGACTACGAGTCACATTCTGCGCTCTAATATAAAAAAAATCCAATTTCTAATCCAATTTCTAATCTAACTTTAATTTATATTTTTTACTTTAAAATATTACACGTATTGAAATTAGTTTGATTCATCGAAGATCTGATTGGTGCATATTTGTTAATATCTCAAGCCAATAAAATTAAAAATCCCTGGTAATAATATTATATACTTTTATCGACCCTTTAATGAAAATAACTCAGCAATTACTTTATCTAATCGATAAAGTTCGGAGAAACTTAACTGCTAACTTTGTTTTAATAATCGCCTAAATTCTTTAACTTCGAACAATAATTTCTTGACAGCAAATCAGTAAAGTTTTTTAT